AATGATGTATCCTAGGAAGTTGCTTGTTCGAGAAGGAAGAGTGGGAGTCACTGCAAAAGGAAAGTTTCGATTCAAAATGAAAACTTGCAGTTCTAAGAGCACAGAGATTGGTTGATTCCAATTGAAATTGGATTCACAATTATTGGACATGATAGTTGAATTTATTTTTTTAATTGTCTTTATTATGGATGTGATTAATTGTTTTATTGCCTTGTGTGCAAAGTAAGATAATATGAGCATGTCTAATACAATTCCTAATTAAAAAATGATACTAAGTGGTAAATGGAATTAAATAAATTTAAAATTCTACGGCCTCCATTATAGGTTTTTCGGTGAAGTGATTAATGTCTTCTTGTTGGCATTATAGTGGACAAATTTCAATCACAGGTCACCAGGAAAAATCTCCTTTAGGATACTAATAGAAAACTATTTCAAAAGCGTACGGGTCGTCCACCAGTAGACGCACATTTTTGATAGTGGACTTGGTACCAAGTAATGGGTTACACTTAGAGTACATTTAATTTTAGCCTCCACCACCGGAGTAGCCATTTTTATTTGGTGCGGGCCAAAAGAGGACCGACTATTAATTATGTGTTGAGAAGGTCTAAGGTCGACACGAATAATTAATGGGATAAAACCCTTCTCCTATGATGGTATCAACCATAGACGTCTACACCACCGTGTCCTGCGGGAATTCAATGTAGTGAGGTGTCGGTAAATTTAACAAATATTGTTGTTAAGGAATCAATATTTGAGAATTAAATTTGAAGAGTTGACTAAATAAAATATATTTTCGTGATCTCAGGCTTTCATAATGTCTTCCAATTCGTTGTTTGTAATTCATAAAGAGAACAAAAGTACTTACCCAAATTATCTGACTGAAAAAATAACTTGGACACTGCATAGTAAAGATTTGGTGGGCAAAGGATAACCGAGTTACCCAACTCGGGTCGATCTCGAGGTAAGGCAATTCGGAGCTTTTCTTCCTACTCGATTGTTCAAATCACACAAAACGGGAAAATAAAATCCTAAACATTCTAATCAATTCGGTTGGAGGTTGATTAACACTAAACGAGCAAGCAATGAGCTATGAGCAATATCAAATCACGAGTAAGTAACAAAGCTAGACCACCGGAATATCATGCCATCAACACTACGAGATGATAATCAACGACAAAGCGGAATAAATGAGCTATGTGCATTATATCATTAACCCTAGCCTTCTATCCCTAAGCAATTAATCCCTAATTGGGTCTTAACCCTTAACCTAGATCGACAAGCAATTAATCCCTATATCTACTCAAGCAAGCATCCAAAGCAATCAAGTCTCGATTTTCCCTCCAACCTCAATCAAACTCAAATTTACCCTAATAAACATTATAAGTAAAAATGAGACAATAAACGAAGTAAAGAGCTTTAAAACTAAATACCCATTCTTCTATTGCGTAGACGATGAAAAACGGAGTCAAAAGCTCGAAACTTGAAAGAAACGAAAGTCGCCGGAAAACCTCCCGGAAAATGACATGATTTCCTAGTCTAGAGAGAAAACATAAACATAAGCTAAGTTCCCAAAAGGAAAAAATGAAATAATGAAAGTTGGATCTCCAAAATGCAAAGGAACAAAATTATTTATAGTCTAGCCCCAACACACACTAGAAAAACGCACATTTAATAGCACACTCCCGAACTCTCCACATTTTCCACGAGCTCGCAGGTCATGGTTGGCATGTATGCGGGCGTTGGCAGCACTCTCGAGCTCGCAGGCAGATCCTCGAGTGCGCGGGCATGCGCGAGGTGCAGCGTGCGGGCGCAGGCGGGCGTGATGTGCGGCAGAACGCGGTCGGCTGGGGGCACTCTCGATGTCGCGCGGCAATCCGCGAGTTCGCGAGCGCAAGGCAGTAGTGAGCGGCACTCTCGATGTCGCTGAAAGTTCCGCGAGCACGCGAGTCGCTGGGCGAGCAGGCAACGCGGCACTCTCGACCTCGCCACTACTTCCGTGGG